TTTATTTATTTATTTATTTATTTATTTATTTATTTATTTATTTATTTATTTTTTTGTAATATTGTAACTTTTTCATAATGTTATACAACAATAATATTAATTTTTGCATTAATTAACAAAACTATTTTGATTGCACAAATTAAAGAGAAAGACACACACACATTCGTGCAATAGACGCACTATTCACACACATATAAAACTCACACACACACACACACACACACACACACACACATACATACATACATGTATGTGCTAATGGCTGAAGATGTGCGTGGGCTAATAAACTAACAGGTGGTATACACACATAGGTGTAACAAATACCACCACACACACATAGCACACGCATATACACATGCGTATACTAATTATGTAGATACCCCCAAATGAAGTGCGCCAAAGCAAATTGAAGAGATAATGGAAAAGAGACAAATGCAAAGTAAACACTTTAAATATTCAATTGGAATGCATTGAGGGCGGGGGGCGGGTCAACGTAGCAAGAGTGAGATGCATATGAAATGCTTGCACCTATATATAGATAGAGATAAATGTGTGACATTTAAAAATAGACAGTTGAGTAATGCTAGTGCGGCCCCCAGTTGGCTAATCGCTAGAAATTTGCACTTAATCTCTGGAGAATGCTCTAATGCTAATGCTAATACCAATTTTCATTGATAAGTACGCAAAAGCATGCTGCCTGTGTGGGTGTATATTTAGCTATGTGTGTGTGTGTGTGTGTGTGTGTGTGTGTTGAGGATGTACGTGACAGAGATAATATACTTACACAAGCATAGCAGGCACACCAAAGGGCAAAACGGCAAGGCTAGCAAATACATTGCCACCGCACGCACACACACACAGGCACAGACACAGGCGCAGGCAGAGGCACACGCACACGCACACGCACACAATGAAGCGCACGCAGGGCGCTGCTGCTGCTGCTGCTGCTGGCGCTGCTTCTGTGGCTGCCGCTGCTCCTGCCGCTGCTCCTGCTGCTGCTCCTGCTGCTGCTCTTGCTGCTGCTGTTGTTGTCTCTTTTTGTTTTAGCGGTTTTTGGCGCGTGCGTGTGACGCGCTACTGATTGGAGTTGGGCGGCTGCTGCTGCTGCTGCTGCTGTGGCTGCTGCTGCTGCTGTGTTCGCACTTTAATGCGCTTCGCGTTGCGTAGGTGTCACATTCACAGGACCGCATGTACATACATATGTACTGTGCCATACATACATATGTACATCGGTTTACCCTGGCACGCCAACTTGCTGCTGCTGCTGCTGCTGTTGTTGTTCTTGTTGTTGTTGTCGATGTTGCTGAGGTTGCTGTTGTTGTCGAGGTTGTTGTTATTGCTATTGTTGGGCGCTTTGAGGCAAACGCAATTTGCATAAAACATTTGTCTGCACTAATCCACGATTCGGCTCAAGTTCGAATATCACTTGTTACACATTTCATACATATCAGTCTTCATTTGATTTCATAAGCGCTTTTTTGTTTTCTGTTCTCTTCTTTTTTTTCGAATATTTGTTATTTATTTCATTGTTATTCTCATGTTGTTTCTCTATTAGTTACATTTGCGTGCTTGTGTGCGAGAGAGAGGGAGAGAGATCCAGCGGAGCATGTTGGGGCTGTCAATCGATAAACGGCATATACTATCTCATTATTATCTCTACATTATGGCATATACTATGATGCATGATTTAATTACTTTTCATATTTAACTGTAGAGCAAGCCCAGTGTATTACATACATACACATGTATATACACAGAGAGAATAATATACATATGCATGTGTGTGTGTAAGGACTGGGCATTTGTTTTACAGTAATTACAATTAATTTTAATTTTTTTATTTTTTATTTTATTTTTTTATTATTATTATTTGTATTTAATTGTTTCACTTGAATATTCGCAAATCTAATTTAAGTCTAGTTTGAGTTTTTTCCGTTCGACTTTTTTCTATTTTTAGTTTCAGGAGCACAACAACAACAACAACAGAAATGCCTGTTGCGAGCGCACACGAAGTGTTTGCGAATGTATGTACGCATGTATGTGTATATAGTGTTTTTTGGTGATTTAGTTTTTATATTTATTAAATTAAAATATATGTATTTATTATTTTTATATTTTAAATTTAAATTTTGAATAATTTTTAAATTAGTTTAGCATATTTTTAGCTGCGGCTGCTGCTACGAGCAGTAGCTACTTTATAACTACGTATACATGTGGGTGTGTGTGTGCGTGTGTATGTGTGTGCGTGTGTCTGTGTGTGCGTGTGTCTGTGAGTACCTGATACGTACATATGCATGTATATGTGTGTGTATTTCTGCTTGTGTGTGTGTGTGTTTGCTGGTGTAAGCGTGTATGTGTATGTGTGTGCGTATGTGTATGTATGTATGTGCTCCGGCGTGGGAAACACCCACTCTCTAAGTCATCAGCGAATGCGGAGGCGGCATTAGCACAAGCGCCGCTAATTTTATTTTTAGAACATTTTCCATCTATTTCAATTTATTTCGAATCGAAGTTTTAGCTCGATATTTGCATAGTTTTCATATTAATGTTGTTATTTCTGCTGCTGCTGTTGTTGTTGTTGTGGACTTTTTTCCTGTTTCAGTTGGCTTTTCTTTTATTTTATTTTATTATTCCTTTTTTTGTTGAGCTTTGCTCTTGCTGCACTAAATAAAATATTATGTGGAGCATGCGCACTCACACACACCTACGAACTGCACAATGTATGTGGGATACATACATATTATGTATTTAATGGCTTAAACCGTTTAGTCAACACGATTTTATGCAAAATTTATAATTGTATTTTTGATTAATGCGCGACGCACACACACGCACACACACACACGCAGCACTCTGCACTTGGACACTTAATAAGTGTGCCTGTCTCTCTATGTGTGTGTGTGTGTGTGTACATATGTGCTCGGAATTCTGTTGATTCTTTTGCTTGCCTCATCGATTCACATTCGCACAACACTTAAACAAAAATTGAACAACAACAACACAACACAAATTTGAAGAGAAAATTTAACAAAAATTTGTTGTAATTTTCGCTTGTTTGTTGTTGCTTTTGCTTTATTTTTTTGTACTATTGGCCAAGTCCCTGCTGAAGTTCCATGTAACTTGTTGTTGTCGTTGTAGCTATGACAGTTGTTGTTGCTGTTGTTGTTGTTGTTGTCGTCGTCGAAGCGCCGTGATGTACGTGCGTTAGCTCAAGGCTTGGAACGTCTGCTTCCGTGCTCCGTACTACGAAAAATGTGAAATAACCAGAGATTCCAAGCAGCGGCAGCAGCATCAGTCGGCATTCTGCTCCCAATTCGCAGCTGAGCCAATTGTGCCACACACACGCACACACACACACACGCGTACGTCTCTGTAGGTATCTGTGCGCGTGTGTCCTGTCTCTGTGTGTGCCAGCCGAAAGCTTGCAGCCAGCGCTGGCTGAGCACAATGGTTTCTCAATGGGCTTACTGAATGGGCCGAGCGTAACTCACGCATACACAGACATGGCTTGCGCTCACTTGCGCGCACACACACACACACACACACCTATGCAGAGGCGATTGCGTAAAACAATGTAACTGTAACTGTAACAGCAAACGCTGCTGATGCTGTAGTCCTTGTCTCGCATTCGCTCCGAGCAAGCTTTTGTTTTTTTTTTTTTTCTCTCGCCTTTGTTGCTGTTGTTGCTGGCTTTTGGGCAAAAGCTCGCATGATTTGCGCTTAGCTTTCGCTGGCCACAGCATTGGCAGCTTTTATCATTGACTTACATGCGGGGAGTGCACAACCAGACTCTCACTGGCCCATGCCAAACAGCTGGCCAAAATCAATTGGCCCGGTCAGCCATTCAGGCCAAAACAGGCCGCTAACCGCACTGGCCTGGCTAAGCCAGCATTCAGAGAGCCAGGTCTGGTAGAAAACATAGAGTTAGAGAGAGAGAGAGAGAGGGAGAGAGGGAGAGGGAGGTATACAGAGATGAGCAAGCCTAGCTTGGCATTGCAGGGAGAGAGAGAGAGAGAGAGCTGAGCTGGGACTATAGCTTATATGTTATATATATGCTATAAATCATGTATATATCTTTTTTCTTTTTACATTTACATATATGTAGCTTATGCGCCTAGCTGTACAATACAAATGCGATGCAAACTAGAGTACAGCCAAAGTACCTGAAATACTTAACATTAATGCTGTCACTCACACGTATGCCTGTGTGTGTGTGTATGTGACAGCCTCTCTGTGTGAGTATTGGGCTCAGCTCACCAGATGGCGCCAGGCAACAGCAGCAGCAGCAGCAGCAGCAGCGAAACGGTGACGGTGACAACCCTAAATGAGCATTGGCATCTCGTGATTCTGAATGAAAGCGCGCTTGTTACGTGTGCTGCCTGGCTGTCTGTTTGGCAGTGGAATGTCGCCCCGGAATGTAATATGCGCAGGCCCAGGGCCTATGCCGAGTGGGCCCACCATAATCATCTTCATCATCAATTAGAGCAAGAGCAAGTCGCAGCAGCAGCAGCCGTAGCAACAGCAGCCGTAGCATCAGCAGCAGTGGCAGTGGCACCCGAAGACGTAACGGTAACTGACAGTAATCATTCGTTAGCTAGCAACGGTAGCCGCCGCTCCACATAACCAATCTCGTTGCTGCCCACGACGCGCGCGCTCCCAGCGATGCGATACAGATACATCTATACGTTAGATATAGGACGAGCGGGAAAACGTGAATGAGCAATCGTAATTTGCATTTGCAATTTTTGATTTTTGTTATAAATTTTTGTCTTCTCTCGCATTCCTTTTGAGGGCATCCGTGTTAATCGCAAGACCCATTCGACGTGTTTAATTCGCTGCGTTATTATTTATGCTTGTTGTTATTGTTGTTTTCTGTTTGTTTTTTTGTGGGTTACAGCAAATTGATATTGTGTGTGTGTGTGTGTTCGTGTGTGTGCCCGTGGCTGTGTCTGTGTCAAGATAATATGCTGGCAATTTTATAGACTGGCGAATTTGATAGAATACCAAAAGCAAATGGCAAAAAATGCTTGTGTACAATGTCATACACACACACACACACGCATAGATACACATATATTTATTACAGTTTCCATTGTGTGTGTGTGTGCCTATTATAAATGTGTCCTTTAAAAATAGAGCATCCGAATGCGGCTCATTTGCCATTTTCTATTTTCTTCTTTGCCACTAACTGCAGTAAATGAAAAAAAAAAAAAAAAAAATAGACGAAAAATGGGTCAAACGCTGAAAAGACAAACAATCGCACATACGTCTATGACAGAGCAACAATGATGAGGGCCACATTAACGAACTGAAAATACTATATAAAGCAAAAAAAAAAAAAAAACAAGAGTAACAAGAAGAGGAAGAGCAAGAAGAAGGAAAACCATGAGACGCTCTCAGAAAATGCTATTAGGGAAAACATATTCATGTGCTCATTGCACACTTACAGCTAAATTTTCGAGCATATATTTATATGTGAATATAATATACATGCATACATATGTGTATTTAAAACATGTACATACATATATGTATATATATTCAAAGAAATGTCTGTCATTAGTTAACCATTAGAACTGTGAGTGCCATTTGAGTAGATGGATGTTCAGAGAAATGCATTTGCTGCTTACACTTGGCATTTATTATGAATACGCATAAATCATTGATAGTTGAGCAACATATACGTGTGTATATATATATATATGTATAGATATGTTTAGATGTGTGCATCGGTGTCTTTGAACGGGAACTTGAAGCTCGAAGGACGCGCATATAAACAAACACTTATCAAACTGCTGAATATTCTATGCCATTGAACGACTTGAGACAACAATTAGAAAGTGAAACCTTCGAAAGTGTTTCCCGTTACATATAAAACATATACATACATATACATATGTATATGCTCTTTAGGTTTGTGTAATGACATAATATCAATTTGAAATGTCTCTCCGATTACTATAGATATAAATACACTTGTGCAACGTTATCAAAACACGCGACTAACTATGCAGTACTAAGAGCAGCAAGCGAGAACGAGCGAGAGAGAGAGAGAGAGAGAGCGAGTGAGTGAGAGAGAGGGAGGTGAGAGAGTGAAGAAAACGTAATTCAAAAGTTAGGCAATGCCATCCGGCATGAAAGTGAAAGCATCAGCTGAGACGATGCCAACGAGTTGAGAATCGCAGAGAGGAGAGCAACAGCAAACAGTTAACTGCCGCCAATATGACGAGTCTTGGCCATCTGGGCGTCTGTTACAGCCTATTATTGCTGCTGTTAGTGCTAAGCGCCCAGCTAACTGTAGTACGGTAAGCTGAACAACTGATCCATGTAAACCAAGATATACCCATCTTCCCCTACCCCTCTCTTTCTCCTTCTCTGTTTCCTGCGCCTCGCAGATGTAAGCGCAAGGAAATGCTCGCTGGCCGCTTGGAGAATGTTACGCAGACGATCTCAAAAATATTGCAAGGATACGATATACGGCTGCGTCCCAATTTCGGTGGCGAGCCACTGCACGTGGGCATGGATTTGACTATAGCAAGTTTCGATGCGATCTCCGAAGTTAATATGGTAAGTCGGGCACACCAAATCGCTTTAGCTAGAGCATACTCCAACTAAAAAAATGTACTCCACAGGACTATACTATAACAATGTACTTGAATCAGTATTGGCGCGACGAGCGCCTGGCTTTCAACATCTACGGCCCGTACTACGATTCCGATGCCGACGACGATGGGGTCAATGATGTGCTGACGCTGTCTGGCGACTTTGCCGAGAAGATCTGGGTGCCAGACACATTCTTTGCCAACGACAAGAACAGGTCAGTCAAATATACATATATGTATATAGAAATCATATAGACGTACTTAGCATATACTTGACATAGCTTTCTGCATGACGTCACCGAGCGCAATAAGCTGGTGCGTCTTGGTGGCGATGGTGCCGTTACCTACGGCATGCGCTTCACCACAACACTCGCCTGCATGATGGATTTGCACTACTACCCACTGGACTCACAGAACTGCACCGTGGAAATCGAGAGCTGTAAGTTAACTGAGCGATATAAGCCTCAGCTATCAAGAACTATAAAATCCAATTGGATTTGTAGCTATTTATAGCTCAACAGTTTGTAGTTAAATCCCTTTGTATATTGCCTCAGCTTACATTAAGTTTGCTCAAAAGAAATAGAGTGAGCGAGAGAGAAGAAGAGCCTTGGCTGTTAAGAACAGCATAATCCAATTGGATTTATAGCAGTTCACACTGATTCTTATAAGAGCAATATACAAATACGATTGCTGTTAAATTCTTTTGCTTTTTGCTTCACCTTTTTTCTGTAGCCAAGTGCAGGATACACACTTTAACAGAATCCAATTGGATTTGTAACAACTGAAAATTATTTCTTGTCGGCTCCTATAAGTACAATATACACACACTCTGGCTTCTCTTCAGTTGTTGCATAAATCTTTCGGCTTTTTACAATATACACATTTTATTGTAATTTTATTGTAATTAAACTATTTTATATTCTGCTGCCTTCTCTTTTTGTATTAAGTTAAGTAGCATTGCTTGCTAATACAGATACACTCACTACAGACATTTCACTCATAATTCTCTCGGCTGCATTCCCTTTTAAGCACAGCTCGCAAATACTTGTTGACCGTTTATCGATGCATACATATACATATATACATACATGCATACTTACATAAGTGCCTTTCACTCAAATTGTGAGAAAGCACTCAAAGGCATAGAACAACACTCAGAGCGTAACCGATTGCATTGGCTCTTTAACGCGCTCGTTTGCGATCGGCTCGCCCGTTTCGCTCTGGTCGTTCCTTAACCGTTTGTTTGAGTCGAATAGTGCAGAAAGACTTTTGTTGTATTGGTATTCATGCGAGAGTTGTGTATACGTGGCTGCATGTGTATGTGAATGTGAAGACGCTTCACTTTATAAATTGAGTGCTTACGTCAAACGCACTCAATAGAAAACGAAAACGAAAACAGCCGAAGGCTCTTGCTCAGAGCGAGAGTGAGAGCGAGTAAGCATGCTTTTGTTCGGTTGATTTTGCGAGCAGAGCGCAAAGAATCAGACTGTTAACAGTTATTTGCAAACTATGCTAAATAGTTGAAATATTCTGAAGCTATAGTTTAATAATATACAAATTTCATTTATGTGTCTAATTTAACAATTTGGTCATATTGTTCCACCACTTCCCGTTTCGCTTCCCTCAGATGGTTACACGGTCAGCGATGTGGTCATGTACTGGAAGCCAACGCCGGTACGCGGCGTCGAGGACGCCGAACTGCCACAGTTTACGATCATTGGATATGAGACCAATGACAGGAAGGAGCGCCTGGCCACTGGCGTCTATCAGCGGCTCTCGCTCTCCTTCAAGTTGCAGCGCAACATCGGATACTTTGTGTTCCAGACGTATTTGCCCAGCATACTGATCGTGATGCTATCCTGGGTATCATTTTGGATTAACCACGAGGCGACGAGCGCTCGCGTGGCGCTCGGCATCACCACCGTGCTGACGATGACGACGATCAGCACCGGTGTGCGGAGCTCGCTGCCCCGCATCTCCTACGTGAAAGCCATCGATATCTATTTGGTGATGTGTTTTGTGTTCGTGTTTGCGGCGCTGCTCGAATACGCCGCAGTTAATTATACGTACTGGGGCAAGCGGGCCAAGAAGAAGATCAAAAAGCTGAAGGATTGTGATCGACATAAAATAGGTACATACATAGATCAGCCGACAACATATCTCAGAGAGTATTTCAGTAATATGTTTTCTTCGATCTCTATTCGTCTGGCAGGTAAACTGGAGAAATCCGAAACGTGTTCAACCACAGAAGACATTATTGAGCTGCAGGACGTACGCATGAGTCCTATACCTTCGTTGCGCAAAGGTAACTACAATGTAACCCTCGGCTCCATCGGCACCGAGACCATGGACTTGGCCAAGTTTCCGCCAAGTTTTCGCATAACACGCAACTATGGAACAGGTCGCAGCCAGCTAAGACATCGCGGCCAAAGAGGTAAGTGGGATAAAGAATCTTATATCAAGTGTTAACTACTAAAATCCTCTCTCTCTCTCTCTCTCTCTCTCTCTGTCTCTCTCGATTTCTCTCCCAGCAGGCATCTCAGCGCGTCCACGCGTAATGCACGCCATTAAGAAGAGCGCCTCGGCCATTAGGGCGACAATACCGAAAATCAAAGATGTTAACATTATCGACAAGTACTCCCGCTTGATATTCCCGATTAGCTTTTGTGCTTTCAATCTCGGCTACTGGATCTTCTACATATTAGAATAATTAGTTGCGGCTAAAAGTGTTAGTAACGTGTACTTACCCAAGTATCATTGCCCCTTCCACGGCCACCACCTGCTGCCCTCCCACTGATGAAATAGTATATGGTATATACATACATATATATATATACATATATTGACATTGACCAATTTATATAAATGGAATGATAGACCCGCAACATATACATACATATACATATGCGATATATACACAAACACACTCACACACATACACCCACACACACATTTGAGTATATACATATATATAAAAAAATATATATAGTTTAGTATTGCTATTCACATTAGGTAAATCACAGTAATTGTGTTCCCGGTAATTTGAAAATTTAGGTACAGATTAATTAAGTACGAGTTTAGCCAAATTGTACAAGGAATTGGTATGCATTTGGCCACATACATATATTAGCACGAGCATTGAGGACCATCAACGGTGATCCAGCAGCAGCAGCAGCAGCAGCTCGATGTGACGCGAATAATTTCACTCTTGTTCAATCAAGTGCTTTTCATAATTATTCACAATACTCACAATATCATTGAGATCATTTACTGTATATTTCTTAGAAATGTTATTTAAATGGTTTACATATTTTACACAAACTGCATTTTTACTTGCTTTGGGCGGGGACGGAGATTTCCTTTGATTCAGAATGAGGAAGCATCGTTGGAAGTGGAAGACTGAGGACTTTGCTGACAAATGATGAGAAAATCATATTGGAATCGAGTTTACTATACTCATTCACGTAGGGAAATGAGTATATTGGTTTTTTGCTATGCCTGCCATGCGGTCCGTTCGCTTATGCGTCCATCCGTTCGTATATATAAAGTATATACAGTGGAATCAGGCTATAACGATGCTCAAGGGACCGACGGAAGCGAAAGCAGAAGCTCTTTTATATATCTTTGTTTGGGGATCAACAAATACATCGAATTTTCATCGACATAAACGGTATAACGCTTTAAGCGGAATCGCTATAACCACTGTTTCCACTATATATTATATATCCTGGTTCAGTTTAATTACTAAAAATACAATTATTGTTGACCTAAACTCAAATGGACATCTACAATAGAATCCGGTTAAGACGACATCACTTATAGCGTCCGTACGTTTCTTGTGACGAAAATTCTGCTCCCCAGACAATCTTGTATGAACAAACTTATACGGTTCCTTGAGCGTCGTTATAATTGGACTCTACTGCATATCCATTAGGGGCATATCAAATCGGCAACTTCAACTTTTTCCAGTTCTCCCGGATTTCAAGCAAAGAATAAAAACACTTTGTCAACATATAAGCATTGGCTATATTTATCGACTTTATCTGGTTGAACAAAATGGACTTTTTCTTTGATAATCTGAAGATACATCAGGCATCTACATGTATGAATTATCGCTGGCTGCCAATCTTCATCTGGGGGTCAAGCAGCTCAGGCCTTAATCATTGACCAGGAGAACTCCTTCTTGTACATGCCGTAGGCCAGCCAGTAGAGCAAATTGAACAGCGCAAATGTCATGGGGAAGGCAACGCGCGCCACTCGATCAATCAATGAAATGCTGTTCACATAGCCGGCGCCCTGGCGTCCCTGGACGCTCTTCTCGGCAGCCGCATCCCGTTCCCGCTGCCTGCGAAACTTGTCGTCGCCCTTCAGGCAGAGCCACATCTGACGCATGCGGGAGACGGCGGGCGGCTCCGTTTGGGTGGTGCGCTCCATGGTCGAGGCGTGCGAGGAGAGTCTTGGAAAGATGTGAGCGGCCTCCTGCTGCTGGTTCTAGTGAAAGGTTAAAGCAAAGGCCAAAGCCCAATTGAGCTGAAATTTGGACTCCATCAAATCTTGAGTGTGGGCCAACTCACATTGTAGATGGGGCAGCTGAAGGTGTTGCGCTTGGGGTAGCCGCCGCCGTTGAGGTCCGCCGGCAGGGGCAGCTCACAGTGCAGGGCATCGTGGTCGGCAAAGACAAAGACATCGCTATCCGAGTTGGCCGGCTCGCTGTCGTCGCTGGCCTCGGCCGCGTCGGCAATTTCGCCCGTGGAGTAGCCCAAGGCTCCAATGTCCTCCCACTCGTCGTCGATGCGGGGTATTTCGCCGCTGCCCAGCTTGGTGAAGTAATGGACGCCAGCGAACTCCAAGAGCGTGGCAATGCAATAGAGGAAACTCATGAGCAGGAACCAGTCCAGGGCCGTGGCGTACTTAACCTTGGGCAAATCGGTGCGCGAGTCCAGGCTGATGGTGGACAGAGTGAGCACAGCCGTCACGCAGAGGCCAACCCGATCGCTGGTCGCCTCGCGATGTATCCAGAAGGAGACCCACGACAGCACCACAATCAATATGCAGGGCACATAGACCTGAACAGCTCACAGAGTGGCATAATCAAGAGGGGATTATATATGTATACATATAGATACGGCTCACCTGTATCAGGAAGTAGCCCGTGTGACGCTTGAGATTGAAGGCCACGTGCAGCACGCTGAAGTCGCCCTCGCGTCGCGTGGAGGTGAAGTTGCGATGCATCATGCTGATCAGATCGAACTGGTTGAGCGTCATGCCCGGCACAAAGGAGACAGCATCGTCGTGGTTCTGCCACTCGTAGACCAGCTGCTGATTGGTGTAGCCATCTGGAAGGGAGGATTAGTGGCAATGGGAGGCAAGGGCAAGGCAGAGGCGTCTACCCACAGCTGCCGATGATAAGTGGACAGGATTGGCGGTCCATCGGAAAGTTTTTCAGCTCCATTGGACAGGTGGCCTTGATGGTGAGCCTGCAAAGACAGAGTTGAGCCTTAGGAACTGTCCCGTGATGCGCAAAGCCCCAATCGTACCGCATCGAGTAGAGTATGCCACCGTCCTGATCCAGTCGCAGCAGCTTATTGGGCACGGTAATCGTGTGGATGTGTGAGTGCTTGCCATTGTAGAAGTAGGTGTCGGGTCGCCAGATCTTGTCCAACATCTTGATGCTCAGCGACAGGCTCTTGATGGGGCCCTGGAAGCTCAGCCGCTTGTCGCGCCAATACTGACGGAAATAGCAGTCCATTGAGTAGTCCATATCCAGCTCGGAGACGGGTCCCATGCTGCGTATCAGGATATTGGTGCGCACCACCGTCGGCAGGCCCTGTCCATGGGTGGGCAGCTGCGATTGCTCGTAGCGCTTCAATAGGTTCTCCAGAATGCTCGATATGTTCCGGCTTAGCATGTCCGCCGAGGCAGTACGTGGCCGGGCCTTACGCAGTGCGCCATACGCACTCGTATCGTTCACATAGCGCCGACTGAGGCGACTCTTGCCCTGGACGGTCGAGAGGGCGCGAAAGGATTCGTAGATGCGGCTGGCCTTGAACTCGCTGGTTATCAAAGGCATCTTGCTCGCGACAGGCGATGGCAGCTGCTCCGGCGAGCCGCCAGCTGTGGTGATGCCCTCGCCCCCCTGCCGCCCGAGCAGGCTCAAGCAAATCAAGCAACTGTGGAAGAGTTCGCGTGTCGTCAGAGAACTGATATACATACATACATACGTATGTACATATATGTGCTTGGAGCACCCGAAAACCTAGGTGTTTTCTCTCTTGAAGGTCACAGCGCGGACTGTGTTAAGTGCATCTGAGACTTTGGTGCTATTTAGCCAGCTCAGAACACTAATTGTCCGCATATTGCCTGCAGAGTGCGGCTGAGCACTCGTCAGGGAAATGAAGTGTCCCGCCTAACGGTATAACGGTCTAGCAGTCTAACGGTCCAACAGCTCGATGCTCACAATTCATGTTTCATAATTTTCATGGGTTCTGCTTTCAGCATTGTTCAACACTTGAAGTAGCTTAGTAATTAAACACTTGAGCTGCTAACTGCTAAGCCAAAGTGAGTCAAGAACGTGCTGGAACGAGTCCAGTACCAGATACCTCTTAAGACGGCAGACCGTTCAGACTGCTAGGAACGTACATTCACACGTTCTCGAATATTCCCGAAGATTCTTCTATAATTTATAGATATTTTCAATTTTTTGCATATTATTAATATTCTTTTTCTTTTTTTTTTTGCTTTCGCCTCAAGGCTCAAGCAACCTGCTTACGCAGCAGTTAAGTGGCATAGAAAGTGTGACATTTTTGAACAATGGCAACAACGTCGGCGCTCACTGGCGTCACTGGCAACACGAAAAGTACAACAACAGCAACAGCAACAGCAACAACAACAACAACAGCGGCAACAAAATACCGTTTACAGGATAACAAAAGAATGCCAGGATAATTTGTACAGTATGCCCATGACTATGCGAATCTGTTTCTAAGCGCGTTGCATTTACGTCTCTTGGCTTACCACACACACACACACACACACACACACACACACACACACACACACACACACACACCTACACGTATATATGAAATTGAGGGTTTTTTGCTATCAAAAAAGTTTTGAAAATTAAAAAAGTATTTTTAAAAAATTTATTATCTAACATGATAGTTTATGCTGTGCAGCTCTCGATTAAATATTAAATAAAATTATTAAATAATAATAAATTATTAAATAATAATAAGTTTTGAAAATGAAAAAAGTATTTTTAAAAAATATAATAATATTATTAAATATAATATAATTATTAAATAATAATAAATAAATTATCTAATAAATACTTTGATATTTGCTTTAACTAAAATTGCTCATACGCGCTGTTGTACAACGTTTTCCATCGTTAGAAGCATATGTTTGTATTTATGCATGAATATTATTTCAAACTAAGAGGAATATTATTTTGCAATAAAGCTGATTAGAAACTTGATTGAATATTATTCTTCTTATGGGAATTTTTAGCAGGCATTTCTTGACAGCTTAAGCTCTTGGCATACTTGAAAATAAACTGAACATGATTTTTCATAATATTTTTGTTTACAAACAAAAATTGATCAGGACTTGGTATGAATTCTTGTTGAAATGAAACCCAAATTATTTTAGATAAAGTCTTATCAAAGAAACTCTGGCCTTTTGCTTCAAGTCAATCATTTAAAAATGTTGCATTGATATCTTAGGATTCTAGTAACTTCTAAAATTAAAAATTCTTATTTTATATATATTTTATTACAAAAATACAAACAAACAAAAAGTACTATAATTATTAATTTATAAAAAACATAGATTATATATTGAGCGTTGAATAAAAAGGCTGCTGCTAAACACTAAAAAAAAAATAAATAAAATAAATTAAACTGAAGTTGATATTTATGTATGATCTATTTTATCTAAAAAACAAAAAAAATAATTAAAATAAATTTTTTAAAATCTGAATAGATTTTTTGTATATTTTTAACGAAACCCTCAGCAATGTTAATCAAGTTTGGAAACTTTTTGAATGTTATTCATAAGCATAATCTCTGAAAAATGTCAATTAGTGATTCTTCAGCTAGAGTAAGCTGAATTGAATTCGGTTTCAGTTTATGATGAACATTAAAATGGTTAGCCGAGTCTTTTGGCCTCTGCATATCCACGTGAAATCCTAGAGCAACCGTGAATGGGGATGCCAAAGGAGATGTGGCTCGACATTTCTGGCACCACGGTGCAATGTGTTCTGTTTGCTGGCCGCGGGTGCTTTTTACGCTTTTGAACCGCTTAATAATAATACAAAAAAAAGGGGAAAAACACACACACACACACACGCACACTCGCACACACACAGCAACAACAAGAAGAACAACAAAACGAGACCGTGTTATTCAGTTCACGACCTTGCGACCGCTTCCAATGATGTGCTGGGGTAATCTTGGCGTTTAGGCGTGAGTGTCTGCAAATTTGTGTCGATGTCGATGTCGATGTCGATGCCATGCCCCCGGGCTAGTCTTATGCAATGGACTTTGAAATGTGCCCGCATATGTAGCGACTTAATTACTTCCTTTCAAAATGCAGCACAGCCAACACACAAACACGCATGCACATGCATACGTATGTATATATATATGTGCATCTTTATAGACTGTCAGCTGTATGCCAACTTTATAGTGTAGCGTGTGTAGCCTGTTTGGGTTAGTGAAGCGCACTCACTTAGCATTTTTGCGCTTGCCAAGCTCCGCCACCCACTTGGTGGGACAAAAATTGCTTGATTCGCAAAATAATAGTTACATGTGCTATGCACACACTTGTCTACCCACACACACACACACACACACACACACAGACAGACAGACAGACAGGAATGAGTGCTTTGACGGCTTAAACTGCACCAGGGCGCATCCCACAATGGCTCTGCTCGAAACTGAGTTTGGCTTTTGGCATTCGTTTGCCCGGGAGTTTGACTGCAAGCAATGCGTTAATTGAATCTGAATGTAAGCTCTGAGCGTCGCTGTTCGCCGAGATGAAGCGATATGTCTCGCCTGGCAGGCCAGGCAATCAACTTGAGCACACAGTATTGCCTGTAGTTGAGCCGTGATGCCGTGCGGTCCCTCGGCTCGGACCACTTGACCGCGTCTGACAGCAGCTATGCAGCTGACTTGTGGCTGTTGTGGCTCTAAGTGCCCCAGTGTGCAGTGGTAGTGGTGGTGGTGGTGGTGGTGGTGGATTGAGTGATTGAACGGCTGAACAGGCAATGCACTGAATACGACATTAGGTCAATTACTTACCTAGCTAATATACGCTGCATAATCATTGGCACTGGCACGTGTCGCGCCTGTGGAAGAGCCCAGCAATGGTGTCCTACCAGCCAAGCAACAAGCTATCCATCAAAGTCGAGCTCGCTGTCCGCTAGTTGAAAGTCGCCTATTGATGATGCGCTCGTCGCTGTTGCACGCTCGCCGTCTAAATCCCAACAAGGCGGCTGAGACAAGCCTAAGTCGGCTCTGGCTTTGCACACGGACGGCCAATGGGTCTGGCATGCGCAAAGCATCCATCAAACCCAACACTTTGCTTGCAACATGCAACGCGACCCGTGGCCAATACCTGCCACTGCTGCCACTGCTGCCACTGCTGCAGGGATCCCCTCGCAGAGCGCCCTCCCCAACAGCCACGCACCGTGCGACAATTGCCAGAGCATTATTTATTTATAAGCGCATTGCCACTTATTGCTTAGCCAAGTTAGCAGGTGATTGTGCAATTATACTACATGGCCTTTGAATCTTTTCTCTTGAAATATTCATATGCTGTCGAGCGCTCAAAATAAATGCAATTATGGATTCACTTTATTCAATTTAATACATATTTAAATTCTTTTTTAAAATATCAAATTGCGACTTATTCAAAACGAAAAAAACAAAAACAAAATGAAACCGCCAATTCGCTTTGGCGCTCACATTGCGCGCCTTATCGATAGGCGTTACTGCACAACTATCGATATTTAACAGCTGAAATTCAAATAACGGTAAATGCATATATCGAAAATGGCGATCAGCGTGCTTAGACTGTACTTGCTTGAAATTTCAATAAATTAAAAATGGAATTTGTTTCTGATTTTCAATTAAGATTAAGCAAATTATGTGAGAATGCTATTCTCGAGAGTCTAATATTCGTAGTTATTTATTAGACATTTGAGGGGTCGCTTCGTTTGTTGCATGCTCTCAAATCACATCCACGCTTGTCGTGGCACATCGGACGACACTGTGAAGTCATTTATTATTCTACTAATATCATAATATCATCAGTCGAAAGCATTATGCTTCGATTAGCTTTTAGTCACATCGAGTGATTCCTGATTTTTTACCTCTCAATATAATCGATTTCATTTTATATGCTAATATCTGTTACGCTTCAATTCCATCCGCTTCACTATAGACCAAAGGCATTTACTTATCTACTTCCTTGTAAAGCCAAATGCCACTCCAAAGTTGGTTACACTTACGATAACCTCTAGGTTACCTACCCAAATACCCATTTCGCTGTATATTAAAAGTCTTTGTTGTGCTATGCATATAAATACTTGTCAATTTATTCAATAAAATTCTGCACATGATCTACTGAAGGACTTGACTCAGCATCATCATCACATTACTTAACAGATATGGAGAGGGACGATGTGTGGAAAAGGCTGTCGTAGGAGCGTTTCGTTGCACGACTTCAATAGAAATGCAATTTCGTCATAGATAAACGACGTTCGAATCAATTCTTTAGACAGATATCATATATCTCTGTTTCTCTCTCAATGTTCTCTTGGCAGCTCTGCAGCGCTGAAATAGACCAACACAATTTCGACCCAAAAAAAAAAAATGTTCGAATTCATTCCCCGAATTGAAAGAGAATCACAAACCAATTCCACATCGAGAACAATTGAAAACTATTTGGGAAAGTTGTAGCAAATAATGCATTCTATTCTTATTCTTATCACATCAAAGTCAAAATGCTCAACCAAATTATAGACGAATTGCATTTTTTGTTTGTTTTTTGTTTTTGTGTTGCTCTTGGGTTTTTTTTTTTTTTTTTGAGGTGCAGCTGCCGAAGCTCGTGCTTAGAGATAGATTTTAGCCCAGCATCAACTGCGAAATGGGATTAGCTTAGCGATAGTATCTGAAAGTAGAACAAAATATGGCATTAGCATAGCCAGATTGTGAAAGTCGTGCAATTGCAGTTAACTACGGATAGCCCTGTGTCTGAGCTCAACCCTGAACTGAAGCCAAATCATAGCTCGTCGTTTAGCCCGTTGATAATAATTTACTGTCTGGCGCGGCAGGTGGAAGCCAAGCTAATAGCCAATCCATGCGGCGATCGCTACAAATTTCAGCTAATTTCAATCTGAACTCTGCCTTGATGCCAATTGTATAGCTTCTTATTTATATACACAAAAATATATATATGTAAATATATAAATCTGTTTATTTGTTGTTTATGTGTTGTTTCATCGCACCAGACAGTGAAATTATAGTTAATGCATTAAAATATCTATAGTTATACATATAAAAAGTAGTTGGTTTTTGAAGTGTTTGTATATAATCGAGTGTAAAGATACGCACACACACACACACACACACACATGCACATACACACGCATGTGAAAATACATGTATAAAATGCATTTTATATGTCAGATTTTAATTGTATCTTTACATAATATACATTATTAGCTTAACATATGTGTGCATGTGTGTGTGTGCGTGTGTGTGTGCGTGTGTGTGTGTGTGTGTGGCTTATATTACCACAACTTGGCATAGATATGAACATGCATGTTAATAATAACCCTTGAATTCGGAGACCATCTTCAATCATCTCTTTGGCAGTTGCATGTGAAAATATCAAACATAGATGTGTAAGTGTGTGTGTGTGTGTAGAATGGAAAGTTATTAAGCTAATATATATAAATATTGATATGGCAGCAAGTTGCTTTAGCAGTGAGAACAAACCATAGACATAGAACGAATGTTAGTTGGGGTTAGTTAGCTTGTAAAAGAGAATTGAGAATTAGCGAAAATTAAATGTGAATTCTAACTAAACGAACTGCCTTAAAAATTATGCGTATGTACTAGAACGTGTACATGTGTATGTATGTATGTGTGCCTTAATGAATGCACACACATGTATATGTGTGTGTGTGTGTGTGTGTGAGTGTGTGAGTGTGGGTGAGTGTGTACAGCAGCATATTGAAATTGTTGCCGCATATTTGCCTTAGTGAGAACATAAAAACATATACATATATTAAATTTTGATGTTTTTTTTTTGTTTTTTTTTTCGCTTTCATATTTTATTTTGTAATAAATTTTAATTGGTTTTTGAATGTTTTGTGGCTGTTTCTTTTTGGTTTCTCTCTTGTGTTGTATTACGCTTAGTTGTTAGTTTTTTTTTTATTATTATTTTTTTTTTTCTCTTTGTTTTTTTTTTTTATTACGTTTGACTTAAATTACTTTAGACCACATTATGGACCATTTTTGCATCCAATTGGCAACTTACAGCTAGATTATTATTATTTAATTCTCCTCAGCCTCATACATATGAACGCACGTATGTATCTATGTACATATAATTCATAAATCTTTATCTTAATTGTTGTAAGCGCCATACATTTCAGTTTTTTTTTTTTCTTTTCTTTTCTTTGCTTTGCTTTGTGGTATTTCATTTTCAATTATGTTTTTTTTTTTTTTTTTGTTATTTTTTATACCCTGAACCCATTGAAAATGGGAAATCAGGGTATAATGGTTTT